AAAGACTGTAAACAACCTCAAAACTCATTTGACCACTAAGGAATTAGACCAGAGAAAGAACTGGAACCATCTTCTGATTCCTGCTATACTCTCTAACTATACCAGCTGTTTCTGAGAGACATCAAGAGAGTTCCAGTGTGGGCTTTTGGGAGAATTTGAGAAAGATGAGAGATCCATTTAGAACCACATCTGTTATTCCCAAAATAGGTTTCAAGATTATCCAGAGATTATCCTGTCAAAGAATGAGAATCTGCCCTGCCCTAATTCTCTCCTTGACCTGAGCAGTGTACATGAGGCAATCTCTGTTCATTTGAAATAATCGAATATAGGATCATTAAGGTCAAGTTGGTATTGCTTAATCAGACAGTACTGTTAAACTCTATACCTTTTAAATGTGTTTCCATGTAGGGGAAAGGTGTTTATCTAAATAGCCGGACTTAGACTAAGACAGTCTATAGAAAAAAAGAGCCTTTTTCACAGAAAAGGAATAGCATCATTTAGTATAATATAATGGCCCATTAGAAAGAGAAGAATGCTATTTGCAGCTCGGATTGAGTTCATACACTAAACTGATTGTGTTATATTGTTGCCAAACTGGTTCCTGGCTTGAAGTAATTATCAAAATGAGATTTTGTTTTTAAGATTTTTAAAAAATTAGTTGGTATTTGAAAAGATAGTCAGGTACCCTGATCCTAAGACCAAGTAATAAACGAGAATATAGCAGATTAGGCCTGATCTGGAGCTTCAGTTGAGTGAGTTCCTTTGATGTTCAAAGAGTCATTAATTGTTGAAACCGCAGGGGAATGAGAGGAACAGATATTTTGCTGGTATTTATTTCTAGTCCATCTGAGTACAGCCGCATGTTCAGTTCGGTGAACAGAACTATTGCTGCAGGTCTAAGGCCATGCCACCCTGAACAAGCCCAATCCCGTCTGATCTCGGAAGCTAAGCAGGGTGGGGTCTGGTTAGTACCTGGATGGGAGACCACCTAGGCAGACCAGGTGCTGTAGGTATAAAAAAAAAAAAAATAAGGGATTGTAAACTGACAAGGTCCTTGCAATCTGTGAGGTCAACCAAGGGTTGCCTCGCTTTAAAAAAAAAAAAGAAAGAAAGGAAAAAAAAAGAACTGTCATTGCAGAGGACCTGCCACATCAAGTCGTGGCAGATTTTTCATTTTAACCATTTCTTCTCATACTGATGTGAATGTGATCCTGGAATTGGGCCTTGGAAGGGTCACTGGCTGTCATCGCCAGCCTCCTATTCAGTGTGGGGAGCATTCCCCCTGGGGCATCCTTCGCAGATGGCCATTCCATTGTGGTCTGGGGTCATCATGAGTTCTTATGTCAGACTGAAGTCTGCTTGTATCTACTCCCCATTTGCCCCAAATTTTACCTTAGGGAACAACACACGAAAGTGATACAAGGGCCCTTTAAGTATCTGAAGACAGCTATCTAATCTTCTTGTGCTCTCGGCTGCTCAGCTGCTGTAAAAACATGCACTTCTCATGCACTTCTCACGTGATAAGCTGCCCATACCTTTCACAGTCCCTCATCTGAGGCAATGTACCGTGGGAGTTTAGAGTATAGACTTTCCTTGGAAACACTACACTAAGTGAAAGAAGCCAGTCAGAAAAGACCACATCTTATGCGATCCATTTATATGAAAGTCCAGAATAGGGAAAGCTACAGAGACAGAAAGTAGATTATAGGTTGCTTAGGCCTGGGAAGGGAGGGGAGTGGAGAGATAGGAAAGTGATAACCAGAAGGTTTGAGATTTCTTTTTGAGGTGATCAAAATATTCCAAGGTTGACTGTGGTGATGGCTGCACATATCTGTGACTGCTAAAAACCATTGAATTATACACTTAATGGTGATTGGTATGGTATGTGAATTTTATCTCAATAAAACTGCTTTTATTTTTGTTTTAAGTTTATTTTTGAATCTATTGGAGGTGACATTCGTTAATAACTATATAGATTTCAGGTATACAGCTTCATAATAGGACATCTGAATGCTCTTGTGTGCTCACCGCCTGAAGTCTGGTCTCCTTTTGTTACCATGTATTTCACCCCCTTTACCCTCTTTGTCCGCCTCCACCCCCCTTCCAGTTACCACCCCTCTGATAACTACCATTTTGTTGTCTGCATCTATGAATTTGTTTTAA